AGTGCAAATTATCTAAGGCTGATATTTTAATAAACAAGCTTATTAGTATATACAATAATCTACCTTAATATACTATACCTATCTATTCCCCTTTTTTCTTTTCTTAAAGAGAATACTGAGTCTAAATTTTATTGTTCCACCCCCCCAACCCTATAACCATTTATCTATAACCCTGAGAAAACTGAAACCTTTGGGAGAGGGGGCATCATTTTCTTAGAACTGCTTCCTGCTGTTTAGGGGGTGATGGTATCTCTGTGGGGTCTTGTAAGAAAGCTTAGATAGTTAGGTCTCCGTAGAAATAGCTGTAGAGTCTGTAACCAGTTTCAGAGTAATGGGTAAGATTGTCTGTGATTCTAGATAGAAGTGTAGTATGATGGACCATCTTATTTTGGAACTGTCCTGAACAGTTTTCAGTCTAAAGCTGATCATTAAGTAATGTTCTTAGGTACAATAGCATCATTCTGGACCGGGTAGAGTAGTTGTTGTGGGGCCCCATCTTTTTTTTTTTGAGACTTCAGAGATTGCTATTGGAAAGACTTATATTTCACTGTGGAAAACTTGAACATTATTAATCTCAAAATGGAAAGTTTGGATTTATGGTGAATCAAGAAAGAATTTCCAGAAATCAAGGATAAGCATGGAAAGAAATAGAATCTTGACAACAATGGTCCCTAGATTGTTGGTTTTCTTCTGTCCCACACCAGTTGGCTCTTCTGATATGAGACAGAATCTCCTAATTTTTTTTTTAGCAGTATGTTTGGGTTTAGAGGAGAAAGCCATATTCCAACTCTAAAGCCAGCTTGATTTATAATTGAATTGGGACCACAATTATTCTAGAGTTAAAGAGATATTGATGTTAGGTAGTAAGATATTACCCTGTAGAGTATATTGGTACCAATAGGTCCTTTCTTTCTGCTGTAGATGTCTAGGTGTCCAAGGCCTTATGATTTCTTGAAGATGGGTATTCTCTCATCCTGTAAAGACAAAAAACAGAACCCTGTCCTGACCCTTGTTTGTTGAGTTTTTCTTACAACTTGCTCAGTTGGTAGAACATGAGATTCTTAATCTCAGGGTTGTGGGTTTGTGCCCCATGTTGGGTGCCAGATATAATGAAAATTCCACAGAGCCTATTTAATGGGCAAAAGAATTTATTAAGGGGGAAAACTCACTGTACAGAACAGAATTGACACAGGTTCGGGAATGCTGTTCCAGCCACCTGAATCAGTCCTACTTCCAAGCCCCACAAAGGAGCAAAGGAAGCAATGCCTATGTGTATCTCAGGTCTTAAGGGTCACCAAGAGGCCATGCCCCAGGAGCATGTACTTCAAGGTCATAGGTAGGTGGAGCAGTTACCTGCTGCATCTCTAAGGGTGGTGCTTCAAGGTCATAGACAGAACAGCTATCCACTACACTGTGATCTTTCTTCCTTTCTTTCTTTTTTATTTTAAGATAGGGTTTCTCTGTATAGCCCTGATTGTCCTGGAACACACTCTGCAACACAGACTAGCCTCAAACTGAGAGATTCACCTTCCTCTGCCTCTTGAGTGCTGGGATTAAAGTCATGTGACAACACACTTGGCTGTTGTGCTGTGGTTTTATGATGGCCATGGTACCACTAGGCAAGGGTAAGTTTTCAGCTCTATTGTGGGCTTATGAGATCATCATCATATAGTCAGGGCATCATTAACTAGAATACACTGATGATGTCACTCATCAGTTCATGTCCTTCCTGTGCATTTTAAAGTAAACTGCAAGCATTAGCACACTTTGAAATAGCATTGTTTACTCAAGTTCAACCGGTGGAGACAATTCCTTTTCCTCTTATGTAGAATTTTCTTATAATACCTTTCATATGTTTTAAATGTACACTTGTTGAGTTTTGGCAAATGCGTAGACATTATTCTGATATTTTTCCACCAAAGACTAGAGTTTCCCATTCTAGGATTTCATATAAATGGAACATACCGTCTATACTCTTTTGTAGCTGCCTCAATAATTCAATATAATGCTTTTTGAGATTTACTCATGGTGTCATATGTATTACTTCTTCCCTTTTTATTACAGAGTGGTATTTTATGGATATACTCTGATTTGTTTTCCATTCTCTTATAACGGATAGACACCTGAATGTTTCTAGCTTTTCACTCCAATGATCAGGACAGCTATGACTATTCTTACATAAGCCTTTTTTTATGAATGTTTCTCTTGATTTCTCTTGGGCATGAAGGAGATATGGAATTGCTAGGTCATAGCACATGTGCTTATTTTATGAGAAGCTGTGAGAGATTTCCAGAATGAGTGTGACCATTTGACACTTTGATGAGTAGGTATAAGCATTCTGGCTTCTCTGTGTCCTTGGCAACATTTGGCACAATATATTTAATCTTGGACAGACTGCTGGATAGAGTGTGCTGGTTCACTCCAGTCTCCATTTGCATTTCACTAGTGACCAATGAGACACATTCACATTTAATCTAGTTTTACTTCTACAGTCCTTCTGACTTCCTTGTAAAGTTATCTAAGAGATCCCCTGTAGCAGTGGTCCAGGTTTCAAAGGCTTTCTACTTTGGATGACTTCCTTGGATTCACAGGGGACGAAGATGTGTGGGTGAGGTCCTGGACACACAGTGCACAGCTTCAAGGGAATAGACATTGACCTATGGTAAACATCCCAAGATACAATGGTGGTTTCCAACACAAACATTCACAGCTCCAGGTTTCATAGAATAGCCCCTGGATGGCTAAGACATGTTTAAAAAAATAAACTATGTAAGTTCTTTATACCTTTTATGAACTAGACTGAGTCAGGAGCTTGGCTTTCTGAAGCTAAGTTTGGAATGAGAATTGATATATAATTGAGATTTCCCAGGAGCTGGTATGTAAACATCCTCCTCTGCCTTCTGTCTCCATGAAAGGCAATTGCCCAGTCAGCACTTTGCCATTCTGGCTCATGAAGGATGCTCTTCTGCTTAGAACGAACAGCAGCTACTTGGGTTTTTAAGGTTTAATTAGTAGGAATCTGACTTATTTTGTTCTTATAATCATTCACTTTCTCAGGACATAGGGAAAGGGGAGGTGAGCTATGAGAAAACCTTAGTATGAATTAACTTCATATATACTGGTTAGTTTTTAGTTAACTTGACATAACCAAGGGCCAGCTGGAAGTGAACTCCATTGAGAAAATGCACTCATCAGATTGGCCTATGGGCAAAGTCCTTGGGTGGTTTTCTTGATTAATGATTGATGTGTGAGGGTCCATCCCTTCAGGGATGGTGCCACCCCTAGACACATGGTGTTGGGTTGTATGAAAAAGCAGGGTCAGCAAGCTATGAGGAGCCAGCCAGTAAGCAACATTCCTCCATGGCCTCTGCTTCAGTTCCTGCCTCCAGGTTCCTGCTTTGAGTTCCTGCCCTGACTTCCTTCAGTGATGGCAAGTGACCAGGGAATATAAGCCAAATAAATTCCTCCCCCCACCCTCCAAAAAAACCAGTTGGTTTTGGTCAGTGTTTTATCACAGCAACAGAGAAGCAAGCTAGCAAAACACACCTTTTAGAAAATTATATTTAATTATTTACATGTGCGCACACACATGTTACAGCATCTGTGTGGAGGTCAGAGGGCACTCACTGCTGTTCTCTCATTCTAACATGTGGGTCCCAGAGATTGAACTTTGGTCATCAGGTTTGATGCCTTTACTTCTAGAGCCATTTCACTGGCATCCCTGGACCTTGTGATCTAGGTTATTGGGAGGTTCATGGGGGAAGAAACACAAAGTCAACACCAAGTTGATGTGTGTGAGGAAAAGCCCAGGGTGGGGGACTGTTTTAACAATTGGCCTTTACGTCTATTGATGCCCCATGCTTCATTGCCCCATTAGCCAAATAGGGAAGGTATCAATGGCTACCCCATGAGGGAAAGCATAATCTATTTACTCTGTGCTTGCCTACTGCCCTCTGGGGCACTTATTCCCTCCAGCACTGGTGTACCCCAAAATAAAATTTACCAAGTCTAAAAAGTCTTCTCTCTGTGTGATATCCAGTAGGTGACTGCATTCTTCTGAACTTCAGTTTCCTGAACAGTATTTTAATTATGATGGTATCTATATGCTAGATAATAATAACTCAATAGAGATAATTCTCAATAAAAACTCAATACTAGATAATAACTCAAAAAATACTAAATGTTGTTATAAGCTTCACCTGATGGAAATTATATAATTGTTAATAAAGAAAAGCTGCATATAAAATATTGACCCTTACTTAAGATGCCACAGTCAATAGGAAAAGCAGGATGCCATATTACTTCTATACCATAAGGGTAAATATGTAGAATAAACCAGAGCCAAGTACTCACCAGAAAATACTGAAAAGAAACATAGATATGCCAATGGGAGGTGGGATGGAGGAGCATGTTCACAATGTTCACAATGCCTTCCTATAGGGAGAAAGTGCCTTTTGGTTTTTAAATATATATTGTTACAATAGTAATAATTATCATCATCACCATCATCACTAGTGTGTGTGTGTGTGTGTGTGTGTGTGTGTGTGTGTGTGTGTGTGTGTGTATGTATGCACATGTGCCAGGTGTATGTGTGGACGTTAGAGGACCACTTTTGGGAGTTGATTTTCTTCTTCCACTACAGAATCCAAGGATTGAACTGAAGTCATTAGGTTTGTGTGACAAATGTTTTACTCACTGAGATACCTTTCTGGCTCTTTTATTTCTTTTTAATTTTTAAAAATTAGACTTATGTGCATGTATGTCTGTGTGTGCAGTTATGCATGTGAGTGCAGGTGCCTACAGAGGCCAGAGACATTGGCTCATTTGGAGCTGACATGCAGGCAGCTGTCTGGGAATTGAACTCAGGTCCTCCACAAGAGCAGTGTGTGTTCTTAACCACTTGGACCGTCTCTCCGACTCCCACTGGCCCTTATAAATCATCCTTGGGGGTCTCTTTAAAAGCCAAATTGACAGCAATGGTCTCTGTCTTTTCTCTCCAGTTTCCTGGCATTTAACACTGACACAGTGGGCCATCTTGCCTTTTTGCTGAAAGCATTGAGTTTTCGAGAAAGGGTTCTTCAGCGGAGTTTGGTGTCCAGAATTTACAATAAGGTAAAGATATTGTTATATTTTTTTCCTTTTGATGAATGTGTAAGGTATAGTTGAACTCCATGATAAATTTAGCAGGGGATGAATCTGCATACTCAGAGGCTTGGGGAAGTGGTCAGGTCTCTACAGGCTGTCTTACAGGGCAGCCTTGCCTGCTCTGGAAGAAGCACCATACTACTGTTTAACCCTTTGTGTCCTGTTCTAGAGTCCTACCTATAAGCATCATTTGGCACCCTAGCAGGTACAGAGTGTAGGGATTTTCATTGGAAATGAAAAACCACTCTTCAGATATAGAACAAATATATTTATTGTCCTTGGAAGAAAATTTGTACATTGAACATATGTAACATTAGCATTGTGTTCGTCTGAGGTGCATTGTATTTCCTGTTAAGAAATTTATGGATTTCTGTGAAAACATAATGCAGGATGTGGGGAGATGGCTCAGTTCTTAAAGTGGTTACCCCACAAGCATGAGGATCTAAGTTTGTATGTCCAGTACCCTCCTGTGCACACACAAATTTGAGTGTGATAGCACATGCCTGTAGTCCCAGTGCCGGAGAAGTAGAAACGAGAGTTTCCCTGGGGTTTGCTGGCCAACCTGTGTAGTCAGTGGGTGAGCTCCATGTCCAGTGAAAGACTCTGTCTCAAAAACAAGTGAATGGAAACTAGAAGGGATTGGGGAAAGCACCTCATGTTGATTTCTGATCTCCACATGCATGTGAACATACATCCAGTCACCCACACAGACCTACATACAGGTACTACACACAAACATACACATGTACAAAAATACATACCTTCATTGATAGATGTCAAGAAGGAATAGGCGTCATGCAGAGTGCCAGTGGGGTTGGCTTGATGAAACACTCCAGCACTTTATATTTCATTATTTGGACCAAGGCAATTGGTCAACAAGACCCCAGAAAGTTTCATCCATCCACTCTTGATCTTGAGTCAGTGCTCAGAACTGAAGAACCCAGATACAGAGAGCTGCTCTTCTTCTGTACTGGAACTTGGTGCTAAAGGGGCCAGAACTAAGTCCCCGGAATTCTCTTTCAATCCACCTCTTTTTATATCAATTACATAGTGATGTCATCTAGTCCAACACAATGGAGCTAGGAAAAAAGAGAGTGCAATCCATATAGAGACAGGCATTCTCTCAGGACGTATGCTGGAGACAGAAGACTCCTGGAAACACAGAAGCAGTTAAGACTCACACTTATGGGACAGAGCCACACTGGGTAAGAACTCCCAGGAAGCTGGGCTCAGGGGTAAGCACAGTCCATCTCTCAGGCAGAGATAAGAGGTGACGCTCTGCCTGACCACAATGGCGCAATCATGTGATTTAGGTCACCCCACCCACCCTGGCCTTTTCACAATGGAGACGGCTGCAGAGAGGGAAGTCTGTAACCCAGGGCGAAGATGCAGCAGCAAGAATAGAGACAGTGCAGCCTGCAAACCATCTTTTGAACACTGTAGAAGAAAAGGTTGAAGATGAAATTGCAAGAGAGAGAAAAAATGATAGCAATCCAGCCAATGGGAAATCCCAACATGCCAGAACAAAGGGAGCCACAGTAATAGTCATAGACACAGTGGAACGATACTTCCTTTGTATTGAAAAACGTGTTTGTGGGTGGAAAGCCCGCACCTGTAGCCTATAGTTTCGTTACTTTTCTCACTGTTGTAACGAACACCTAACAAAAACAGTGTAAGGAAGGGTTTGTTTTGGCTCACAGTTTGGGGGTGCTTATCCACCCTAACAGTGGAGGCATGGCTGACTGAGCTTGAGGCAGCTCCTCACGCTGTGTCTGCAGTGAGTGGTTGGCTCACTCCTTCTTTTCTATCCAGCCCGGGACCCAGCCAGTGGGACCCAGCCAGTGGGATCCTGCTGCCTGCATTCAGGGTAGATTTTTCCTTCTCAGTTAGACCTTTCTAGAAATACCCTCATAGGCACACATGCAGGTGTGTTTTCATGGTGATTCTGCTGCTTTTAATTCTATTCCCCACATAGTATAGATGCTCTGAGACTTGCTAAACACTCAGAAATATTTTCTGTTTACAATTGTTCTCTGCCAGAGGAGGAGTAATCGTTTTCATTAGTGTCTATTCTGATTTCGAGAGAAAAAAACTTTCACACATGTGAGTGTGTTTTCCAAACATCAAATAAACACTAGGCAAAGGATGTGCTGAAAGAAATTGGAGAGGGCTTTAGAGCCCGACAGTTACCATTCGCTGCTGCCAAACTTCAGCGTCCTCTTCTGTAATTTGGAATAATAAGGCTGAGTGCGATGCAAATGCGCCACATGGCTGGAATACCACTGGATATGTAAAGTAGCTGTCGAGGCTCTAACTCTTACCTTCATGTTAATTACCCAAGTTTCCACCGTCCGTGTAACCTGTTTATAGACAATACCATTAAATATTTATAGCACACAAGACAGTTTCAAGGGCTAATCAGAAAAAAAGACCATGAAGTTTATCAAGCCGGCTCCTGCCTTGGGGAAAGTCTACATCTAGTTTTAGCCTGAGGCAAAATTAAGACAAAACCCATAACATTAGTAGAAAGAATATGGACATCTATTGTTTTAGTTTGTGTTTTTCACTCCTCGGCTTGTGTTTGCTTCTATAGATTAATTGTGTATTGTCATAAAGTGATTCTTATCAGCAGTTTGAACATCGAACCTGAGCAGAGGTTGGTCAATAGTCTTTGGCTAGTGGTCAAAGAAGAGACAGTTCATCCAGCATCCATAATCTTCCTGAAAACAACCATAGTGTTTGGCTTAGAGCTTTCAGATGAAAAGGCAAAGCCATGAGGGCCTCGGGAATTTGTGTGTCTTCCTAGTTCTTTGATAAAACTTTGACTGGTTTTTCTTCCTCAAGAGCACATTCGATTACAGACATGTTTGGCCAACCTTCTTCTCAGTGCATTGGACAGCCAGCCACTCTGCCTCCCATCCTGCAGTGGCCAGTGGGTCCCACAACAGAACCAGCCTTTGCAATCATTTGACAATGTGTTTCTCTGCTCAGAGTAGTCAGGTTTTCACTCAAAAGGAGTCCCAGGGAAGCCTTTGCCTTACGAGTAGCCTTGGAGGGCTCTTGTCCCCTGAGCTCCTGTGGGGACTCATTTCTCCAGTTTTCCAAACCTGTGTGGCAAGGGCCATTCATAGTTGCTGCCTCAGTTCCCCACTGGTAGGAGACAACACATGCCGTTGAGCAATGGCTTGTCACATTGAGAATATTGCATCATGAAAAGCTGCCATTCTGCAGGGAAACTGTAGACAGGAAGATGAATCATCAGTAATCAGTTTGTTTGAAAAAACGTGACTTTACTTGCAAATGTACATGACAGAGGCTGGGTGGGTAGCAAAGTGAGAATGTAGGTAAGTGAACTAGTCCTAGCTAGTCTGGACTAGGCTCATGGTCTGCCTCTCATCACTTGTAACATTCTCCATTAGCTGCACCTCTATTTTTTTGTCATTTCTTTAGTTTTTGAGAATTTCATACATACACATATAATGTATTGACATTAGTTCCATCCGTCCCTTCCCCTCTACTTCCCGCCTTCCCCTTCCTCGTATACCCATGACTTCTATAACTATTGTTGTTACATAGATGCAGCGGTATGTTTAGTGCTGCACACGTGGGCCCAGGTAACCTGTCAGATGATGTGTGCTGGAAAACCAGTTCCCTCTCTCAGAAGCTAGTGAATGCCTGGAGCTCTTCACCCAGGAGTGGGAATTTCTCCCATTCCTGTTGTTGTTAGGCAGGGCCTGTTTAGGCCACACTATGTTGATATTTCATGGTGCAGCATCCCTGTCAAGTCCAGAAGACACTGTCTTTCAGCAGTCCTGGTCCTCTGTTCTTACAATCTTCCTATCCCCTCTGCTTCTGTGTTCCCGAACCTTAGATGTAGAGGTTGTGTTATATGTGGACCAAGTGGGGCTAAGCATCCCAGGCCACTTAGTCTCTACAGTTTGACCAGTTGTGGGTCTCTGTAATAGCCTCCATTTGTGGCAAAAAGTATCTTCTTTGGTGAAGGGTGTCTCAGTTACTTTTTCTATTGCCATGATAAAACACCATGACCAAGGCAACTTATAAAATAAGATTTGAGGCTCATAATTGCAGAGGGTTAGAGTCTGTGAGCATCATGGTGGAGAGCAAGGCAGTTAGCAGACAGGTGTGGTGCTGGAGCAGTAGCTGAGAGCTTACAACATCTGTATCTGCAAGTAGGAGGCAGGGAGAGGCAGAAAACTAATTGAGAATGGAATGAGCCTTTTGAACCCTCAAAGCTCACCTCTAGTGACCTCCTCTAACAAGGCCACACTTCCTAATCCTTCTCAAACAGTTCTACTATCCGGGGACCAAGCATTTGAACATGTGAGCCTGTGGTGGCTATTCCCATACAAACCACCACAAAGGGCAATAGCTACACTTATCTGTGGGTAGGAGGATAAGTGTTTAGAATATGGTTATATTAAAGAATAAGCTTTATTGACTTAGAAAATGGCAATACTAGGTTCTCCTCCAGGGGCTCTGACTCTTCCAGACACAGGTAGTTGGTCAAGTTTCCAGTATATACCTCTACTTTAGAGGGTGTAGAATCCACTGGGAAAGATTGATTTCAGAAAGCTGGTGCAGGTTACCCTTCACCACACCACAGACGAAGTTGACAGTAAATGGAAGTTGTATGCAAGCAAGCATCAGGACTTATCATCAGACTCAAGGCAGTAAACTAGTTTGGAAACAAATACTTTAATTTTCTTTATTTGGAGAGCTAGATGGAGAATTAGTGGAGGCTGGAAATGAGATTGCTGGAAATGTAACTATGTAGCACTTTCTATTTAGACAATAACTATCACTCCAGTTTTTATTATTGTGAATGCACAAGCTGAGGGCTCTTAAATGCATGGGACTTTAAATGTAGATCTTTAAAACATAGTAACACTGCAGAGTTTCTGAAGACAATGGTGGCTGTTCTGCATCTCACACGCTTAGACCTGACA